TGCAGTACTCTGCCTAGATTTGGGAGCCTGATCTGCCCTAGGCAGGGACAAGCAACAGAGATATGTGCTCAGGACAGGAGCAGAACTGCAGGTTCTGGAGGGATCTCTGCAGCCCAACAGAGAAGCGCCATGCCAATTTAACTGCCTCAAAGGCTAGGCAATTGCTGAACAAATACCTTTGCAGTTGAAAATGTTAATGCTGTGAGACTGCTTATACCCCTTCTGGGGCATCTTGTAATTTTTCCAGATCCAGCCATGTCTGACTGTGATTAAGTCACTCACATTAGGAGCCATATAAAGAGCTCAGGCAATATTTCCAAAATCTTTCCTGTTTGTGGATCCAAGGATCTTACTTTTGTCACAGAGCTACATGCCACAGTCATCTGTCACTAGCTAATCCCTGCTGGTGCTCCAGGACTTTTCAGTGTTACCTGACTTCCTCTGTCGCTGATGCTCCAAGTCTGACCTGCATGGTGTTACCCGGTGCAGTCAGGATGACTGATTCACAACACCTGAGAGTTAGTCCAGAAATGCCTGTCAGCTTTTTGACATGTGCACACACAGGCCATGCAGGTGGCAGGTGCCTTGCTGGGAGTTAGAGGGCCTGTAAGCAGACCTAAAATGTTTTTAGCACATGTTGATGGTCCTTCAGGTACCAAAGGTACCAAACATCGTCCTGAGGTCTTGTGTTCTGAGATTGACAGTGGATACAAGTCACAATTTACTCAGTGCCAGGCAGTCGGTCTTGTTCTGTCCGACCATGCTTACACTGCGTAAGCTGCAAACGTCATCACTCAGGATTTTACCCAGGCCATGGTTTAAAACAAAACAACACAACATTAAACAGCTCAAGACAACACCCAATCCCCACAGAATCTCTCAGGAAAAGAATTGCTTAAGGATGCTCTTTTAGTTATTTTAAGACTAGTGTGCTGCCCTTACATCAATGTGAAACAGATTGATTGAACCTTTTTAATCAAAGTTATTTTCTATCTAGTCAGTTGCTTGAAGAAGCAACAAAATGCTTTTATTTTAGCAGTAAAACTTGCAGTCTTGTTTTAGAAATATATTTGACACAATTATTTTCCCTAATTGCACGTTGATTTACAATTATTACTAATATTATTACTATAGCTTCTACTATTAAGCTTCTTTAATATTTTATTAGTTGAAACCCTCTGCTCTCACTTCTCAGGGAGCAGAGCCAAGGTGACAAACAATGACCATCAGGTCATCTGATCTACCTGTTTTTAATATTGGCAGAGAATTCATTTTTTACCCACTTATATCAAGACTTAATAAAAATGTAATTATTTTTCCTGTCTGTCTTAAAAGAATCAGATAGAGAAGAGCAATACCTACCAGTTTTAATATCTGTCAAGTTAAGAGATTCTGTTTACCACCTTCTCTGTTATTTTCGGAATGCAAAATATGTCATCACCCTTCTGAGAAATGCATACTTAATCCTGCTCTTTAGCCAGTAAGTAACTGGATTATTTACTCAACATTTAAATCTTTTTTGATAATTCAGCTATTTTACACTGATGAAAAATTGTCAGAGGATCAGAACAGGATTGTCAAAGGTTATTAAATATCAGTATGATGACTTAACTGGCAAAATATAATGAAAAGCATTTACAAGTCTTGAATTTAAAAAACATAACACTTTCAATGCTTCCTTTTTACTTTTGGCTTTATGAACTTTGGATTTCATTCCTATGCTTTTATCTACCAACTGAGAGATAGAAATTTAATTTTAGTAGTAAAAAGGCAGTGTTTTTATTTTAGTCATCTGAGTCCAGAAGTTAGGGTCTTAAGAAAATAGATCAACCACCAGGAAACTCATGAAACTTGTGAAACTTAGTATCACTGGCAGTGCAGCGTCTATCTATGTGATGAAAACTGAGAAGAGCTGTTCTTCCTTTTAAAATGCACATTTACCTGGCCGGCCCTGGAATTCAGCTCAGGTGCCAAACTGGAAGCCTTCCACCTCCAGCCCCTCTTTGGCTGGTTTTTACAGGTTGTCTGGTGAGAAGTCCACTTCAATACCTAAACTGCCTTCACACCTTGGTGCTTCCAGAACCCAGGACAGGGGAAACTAGACTTCTGTATTTCTACACTGTTCTCTGATGTGGGCCTCTCCCCTGCCACTTCCAACATGAAGGTGCTCCACGGGTGTAACTCCTGCTGAGAGTAACTCACAGGATCCTCATCCAGCCCATGGAATCAAGCCTGTCCTAAGTAACCTGCACTGCAAGTGCATGAGATAAACAATGGTCCCCAGTTGTGGTATAACCAGAGATGTTTATTAAAAGTGTACATAATTTTTATATTTCCACCATTGAGTTAGAATAGCATGAGCCTGGATAGCCAGGTATAATTATTAATAAACTTGTTAACCAATAATATTCATGATCAATTCCCTAATAGCAACATCAGACTTTTCTCTCAAAGATAAATGCTTATATAATAGTTCTTTCCACAAACTACATACACCTGCTACTTCTTACATTTTTTAAAACTTTGTTACATCTTTCCTGCCTTAACTGAATAGTCTTTTGTTTCTAAATGCTCTTTGTTCTATCAATTACAAGTTCCCTTTTTTCTTTCTCTACACTGCACATGTAATTTTTATAACTAATAGAAAATTAATTAAATGTTTCGTATCATCATCAAACTTAGTTTCCATCCTTGTTTAGCTGCTTCTTAAATACATAATTATCTGAATATACCAAACATAGCACCAACCTCATGAAGTTTAACAAAGACGCGTTGTCAGAGTCTGTGCAGGGGCTGGGTCCTGGTTGATGGCAAGTTGAACACAAGTCAGCAGTGCCCTGGCAGCCAGCAGGGCCAACCCTGTCCTGGGGTGCATCAGGCACAGCATTGCCAGCCAGGAAAGGGAGGGGATTGTCCCACTCTGTTCTTCAATGAGGCAGCCTCAGCTCGAGTGCTGGGGGCAGTTTTGGGTGCTACAGTATAAGACAGACATTAAGCTATTACAAGTGTCCAAAAGAGAGCTGTGAATGTAGTGAAGTTTCTTGAGGAGAAGCTGTATGAGGAGTGGCTGAGATCACTTGTTCAGCCTGGAGGAGACTGAGGGAAGATCACAATGCTGTCTACCAGCTCCTCATGAGGGGAAGGGGAAGGGACAGGCACTTATCTCTGCTCTGTGATGCCCAGTGAGACAATCCGAGGGAATGATCTGAAGGTGCCCGAGAAGGTCTAGGCTGGATATTGGAAAATGGTTTTTCACCCAGAGGGTGGTTGGGCATTGGAGCAGGCTCCCCAGGGAAGTGGTCACAGCACTAAGCCTGACAGAGCTCAAGAAATGTGTAGACAACACTCTCAGGATTCTTGAAGTGTCAGGAGTGGGACAGAAGTTGGACTTTGATGATCCTTGTGGATCCTTCCAACTCCAGATATTCTATAATTCTATGTTTCTTTTACTTGCTACCAGTGTCTGTACTAGATATTTATGTATTTATACATACGCATATTTGAAGATAAAACTTACTCAGAAATGTTCCCTATTCTCATAATTCACCTTAAGGATTTTACTTCTTTTGGGCAGGGAGCATCCGGACAGGCTCCTGCCATCAGTTACCGCATCTCTGCTGCCAAGCCCCAGCAGCCCAGGCAGCAGCCGCTAAAAGCTCGCTTTGGGCTCCCTCTGGTGCCGGCCGTCCCGCACAAAGCCTTCCCAGCGCAATCCTGGCCTCAGCAGCTACAGCAGCACTGCTGTACCGGGGGATGCCCAGGGACTGCTCCTCACCTGGTTGTTGGTAACGAGGTAGGCGTGAAGCCTCTGCAGAGCACAGGGTTACACATCACATTCTGGAGGCTCCGATTCTGCGAAAATTCAAGTGCTCATTGCGATGCTGTGCCCTGGATGATGGCAAGAGCTACCACAGGCTGTGGGGGACAGGCTGGCCTGCAGCCCCTGCCCGTCCTGCACTGGCCCTGCCTCGAGTGCAGCCTCTCAAAACTGTCAAGCCACGGGAGAGGCACTGAGAGGCATCAAACCACGGCAGCAGAAAAGTTTACAAAAACGGTGAGGCTGGGACTTGGAAACAGATGGTGGGGCTGGCTGTGGTCTGGAGGCAGTGTGGCCCCACACAGAACTACAGAATCATAGAAAAGACTTGGAAAGTCTTGGAAAAGACCTCAGCAATCATTGAGCCCAACCTATCTTTGAACACCCCCACGTCAATTAGACAATGGCCATGTAGCATCAGGTGCCATGTTAGTCTTTCCTTGAACACTGCCATGGATGGTGAACCCACCAACTCCCTGGGCAGTCTGTTCCAATGTCTAACGACTCCTTCTGTGAAGAGTTTCTTCCTAATGTCCAACTTAAACCTCCCAGCATCAGACTATATCTTCTTGTCCTGTCCCTATCTACTTGGGAGAAGAGGCTGGACTCCACCCTCCTTTCAGCAATTAGAGTGATGTCTCTCTCCCCTGAGCTCCTCCTTTTCCAGCTAATTAACCACAGGTGCACTCAACTTGCACCTTGTAGGACTTGCGCTCCAGACCCACCACCACCTCTGTTGCCTTCTCTGGACACACTTCAGCACCACAGTGTCCTTCCTGAATTAAGGGGCCCAGAATTGGACACTATAGGAGGTGTGGCCTCACTAGTGCTGAACTCACTGCCCTGGTCCTACTGGCCACACTATTGCTGGTACAGGCCAGGATGTATTTGCCTTCTTGGGCACCTGGGCCACAGCCTCCTCGCTCAAGTTCAGCCGCTATCGACCAGCACCCCCAGGTCCTTCCCAGCCGCTCTGCCCCAGCCTGTAGCGCTGCCTGGGGTGGCTGTGACCCAAATGCAGGAGCTGGAATTTAGCGGCGTTGATCCTCATGCTGTTGGGCCTCAGCCCATCGTTCCAGCCTGTCCAGATGCCTCTGCAGGACCTTCCTGCCCCGCAGCAGCCCCACACTCCGACCCGACCGGGCACGGCCCGCGAACGCCCGTTGGGGGGACGGGAGCCCCGCGGGCGGCGCGGGGCGGCGGGGCCGTTATCATGGCAGCGGGCGGGTCCGCCCAGCCCTCCCCGGAGCGGCCCGGCCCGGCCCGGGAACAGCCGGGCAGCACCGCCGGGCCCCTTGTCCGCAGCCCGGGGGCGCAGAGGCGTGTCCGACCTTCGCGCCTCAGCACGGTGGGTGAGCGGCGCTGGCGGCGCGGCGCGGCCCGGAGGCGGGGGGCGGGCCGGGATACAGCCCTCAGGAAGTTTAACCCAACTTTCCGCCGGGTCCGCGAGGCGCCGGGGGCGGTGTCCAGGCTCGGCTTTGAGCCCGGCGGCCGCGCCGAGGTGAGGTAGGGGGAGGGCTCCGGGGGGCAGCCAGACCCCGTGTGGGCCGCCCGGCCGGGAGGCTGGTGTGTGCCGGGGGCAGCTCCCGAACCTGCTCCCTGCGGCTCGGCCCGCGCCCGCAGCTCTCCCGGAGGGACCAGCTGGGGCTCCTCTGGGTTTCAGAGCTTGGGGCAGGGCGAAATGCTCCATCGCGAGGTAAAGGTGCTGCTATCGCTGTGCTATGTTTGGTGTAGTCAAACCCCCTTCATCAGAGTGCCGAGTGCCTTGACTCTCACCAGTGTTACAGCTAAAAGATTGAGCTTTGTCAGTCACAGGAGGGAAAATGTCGAAAATGCAGTAGAAGCCTGGCTGCTGGGACCGTGAGGGTGAGGCTGTTGTAGGATGCTGCTATTCACTGTTTCTTGTACTGTCACACTTTAACTCGGTGTATTTCTCTTCAGGTCAGCAGGACCACAACAACAGGCAAAATGACAGCTGTGAGGTTTGAGCAAGGGACCCCGCCAAGAGAATCATCTGGGTGAGTAAAATGAATTGTGTCAGTGAGGAGGTTTGGGATTGAATATGTGGTGTGTGGTCCCCTGTCTTTAGGTTCTTAGTGCTTAAAATATAACAAAGGGAATAATGATGGAGTGTCTGAAGTTTATATAGCATAGTCTTTTTATCTCCCCTCTGCCACCAGTGCTGTTGTCTGAGAGGAGGGTTATCTTTGAGAGAAATACGCTGTTGTGATTCACTTGTAAGTAGTTAGTAAGTGATTAATAAGTACAAGGTCTCCATCCCTGATGTAATAAGCCCATGGCATTAAAGTATGCTCTCTTTTAGCATCCAGCCTGTCAAGAGACTTGCAAGAGAGTGTCAAGGTATCTTGTCAAGCAAGACTCTTTCTGTGCTTGCTTTAAAAGTCTCAAGTCTGAGGTTACCTTTAGCTATGAGCAGTCAGAAAAGCTTGTGCTCTGTATGTGCATGAAGGAAACAATTTCTTCTAATATGTCCTCCTTTTATTCTCTTCCACTCCCATAGTCAAAGCCTAATTTTAATAGCTTGTGGCTGAACACTTATTCTGTCTTGGGCAACAAGTAGATGTAGAATGATCAGCAAAACAAACTCCCTCTGAGGAAAGCATTATCTAGAACTGAATTTTTGTGTGGGAGCACTATGGAAACAGTGTACTTGGACTTCTGTTTTATCTTTGTATTAAGGATTGTATTCCTAACTGAAAACACTTTTGTTTCTCATTCTTCTTGTGGCATATTTCAATCACAGTAGAGGATAAGAAGGTAACATTTGGTGCACTTCATGTTTCTGCAAGTATAAGCAAGTGACCTGCAAAATTGCTGCAGCAGTAGCAGACTTCAATAAGTGAAGCATTTCTGCTGTTCAGTAAGTGTAAACACCCCAGAGAATATTCTGTAAGAATAGCTGGGAAGCAAACCTGAATGCCTATCCATCACTAAAGCTTTGCTTCAGCTCTAGGAACAAAATGAGGCAGTGGTTACACTGGAAACACTGGAACTAGGAAATGAGACTTGAATGCTAAAATTGCTGCATCAGAATAATTCTTCTACTGAGCCTGATACTGAGTGCAGGTGGTGAAGCATCAGTACTGGTTCCTGAAACTAGGAATGATGCTAGGAGAAGCATCATTAAACTTCTTGCTTAAAAGGTGGTTAGCACAGACTGCAGAAGCAGTGCTGGTGCATGAGTCTGTTGCAGAGGATGAAGAATACTTGAATTCTCAAAAGTTTTACACTAACGCTTCAAACATGCTAGGCTGCCTCAGAACAGGCTATTGATGGAAGCATCAATATTGAATATGTGTGTGTAGATATTCCTGCCCGTGAAGCAGTGAAACCAGAGGCAGGGCCTCAGCAAACACTGTGGCTGTGCTATTATGCATCACAGTATTTCTGTGGAGAAGACTGAAATAAAGACTCCTGGATTTTGATGCTACACTTTTTCTATGAAATTATCATGTGGCCTTCAAAAAAAAAAAAAAAAAAAAAAAACCAACAAAAAACTTGATCTGAAAAGACCCTTTTAAGGAAGTTATGGCAAGCAGCCACTACTCCAAAAAACTGCTGTTCTAGCACTAGCTCAGCTGCTGCTCTGGTCTTCCAGTTTCCGGTCTGGTATCCTGCTCTGCACTAAAACATCTCTATGCTATGGCTTTTCCTGGTGAAAACATTAATTCTCTGTACAAGAAGGTTGCTGTAACAGCATTAATGTCACTTGGACTCTCTGAAGCCATTTTGCATATGCATATTTCTCCTACTTCTAGAGCCTGGACTCTTGTGTCCTTAGCAGACTCGTGGATGCCCTGCTTCAAATCCCTTTATCCTACTGCTGAACTCATCTGTCTCTTTTTTTGCAGGGGTGAAAAAAGGGAAACCTTTTGAGAAAGGGGCTGCTAATAGGAAATAGATCAGCACTAACCAAGGGATTCATGTGTGCCAACATGGGGAAAAGTCTTTCTTCCCCTGGTACTAGTACTAGGCCTGTGCTCTGGCTCAGGTGCTGTTCACTTGACAGTTAGTTTTTTTTTTTGAAAGAACAAAGCATAGCAATATACGGAGTTGACACCTCTATCAGTGTGTGACTTGTATTATTTCTTTGCCAGATCTCCAACAGCTGAAGAGGCCACAGTAAAGATTGATAATGGTCGTGATGAGAGCAATGGACCAGACACCTGTCCCAAGTAAGCTAATGATATACAAAATTTCTTTGCTTAGCCCCAGAAATGGAATCTGATGAGCCAAAATAAGAAGACAGGTGGCTTGTTGAAGTAGAGATAAGCCCAGTAAAATGTTTGATATTGACATTTCTCCTAGTACATAGTGAAGACAAATAAGTTGAGGAAGCCTCTTTATCCCTCTAGAGGTAAAAGGCCAACCCAAGAACACAAGTCCATCATATTATGGAGAATGGGTAGTCCAGACCACATTGATTAAATTTTCCCAAAGGAATGAGTTTGTGAGAGCACAGAAGAACAAGTGCTGGTGAGACAATGAGGTGAATGAGTACCTGGGCATACGAATAAGCATTGTGGCACACATCAAGACTAAATTGTCTGAACTTACTAGTTCAGACCTCTGTTATTGAAGCAGTTATTTCCTGACAGTGTTTACCTCACATTACTCTTAGAGCAAGCTTAGTTGAGTCAGCAGCAAGTCCTGCAACTCAAGAACAGTAAGCCTAAGCCTGTTATTTCAGTTATTCTATGTGACAACATATTTTTCTAGATTTTGGAATTTACAAATGTATTTCACAAAAGCTCTAAGCTAGTTATGTAATCAAATGTGCCATGTTTCCTTCAACTCATTTAAGATATTGGCAGGCCAAATTGGAGTGGTGTATGCATATATTTTTGTTTTGAGTTTACCTAGTTAGAGGTACTTTTTCATAAACTGTGTAAGTTGGAGTCTTGGTGTCCCCACTACAGTTGTAGGTTTGACTGGAGAGACATAGACCAGCAAACCATTAGTGTCACCATCGCAGTGTTTCCTTAGATATTTGGCGTTCATAAATACCAGGAAAACCTTCTATATGTTAAGCTGCCTTCGGGACAAAGCATGGTATTACATCCTTGACTTGTATAGGAATAGTGAGGACTACAACCCACAAATATCCTTCCAGCTTAAGAATGCAAATGTTTGCTGGTTAGACCTTGTACCTTAGTTTAGAGTAAGAACCTAATAATGAAAAATGTGGGTTAATTCAGTAAACCCAGTAAGATGCTGCCTCAGCACTTCAGAGGTATCTAGCCTTGTCTTAAACTGGGTTTTTGAAGTGCACCAAGTGAAATGCAATGCTGAAGTTGTCCTAGAGGAAATTTTGGACAGGATCACTGGGGTGCAGTGTGCATTACTGAGCTGACAAAAACTTTTTGTAACAGTGCAAAATAATCTATCAGTACTTTTTGTCAGTATGTTAGTACTAATGGTAAGTCCTGCTGTTACTGATATGCTTGAAAAAAGATGCTTTCTTTAAAGTGTTTAAGAAAAGACTTGATGCTTACAGTAGACTGGCAGTCTATTTTTCACTGTCAGCACTTGAGTTTTGCAGGTTTTACAGCAAGAACTTCTACCTTAGTTCTTGGTGTAATCTAAAGAGGCTTCCAGCCAGAAAGAGAATTACATAAAAGCTCTTTTCCAAACCAAAGGGCTTAAAGTATACCAAAGAGGCAACTAAATCTACTGTAATTGGAAATGAGCTGTGACTGCCAGGACTGAAGATAATTCTCACAACTGGAAGAATTTGCTTTTGGAAATAGTTTTTCTTAAAAGATATTTGTATTTTCAGTCTGAATGCCAAACTGATGTTTCCTTTTTAAAGTAGAAGTGGGATTTCTATTCCTCTATTCCAAGGACATGGGAACTGTTAACAAGTGCAGCTCTTTTCAGACATGGGGAAAAATGGTCTGATACAATAAGCTAATATATGGAACGAAATATATTAAGAGATGTTTGTCTTCCAATCTTCCTCTTGATCAATATAAACCCAATTCTAATAGCTTACTAAGCCAGTGTTCAAGTGTTACTGGAATTGTGACATGGAATAATGTCCTGGATAAGTATATACTGCTGCATTTCAGTCTGGAAGCTGATTAATACTTTTTCTAACAAGTGATCAAAGCACTGTTTTCAAGTACTCTCTTAACCTATATATTTCATGAATGCAACTGAGTAGCCTCATCTTGGAGAAGTCACTACTGTGCAGAATACTAAAACTAAAGGAATGTGAACAAAGGAATATAACAGTGCCCTTGTTGCTGATACCTGTAGCAAAATGTCACTTGTTTTGATGTCAGTTCTCTTCTCTTGCAGTGCAACTAGGAGAAAAATTGCCCCCTTTGTGATGTCATTTGGATTCAGGTAAAAGCTTGAGCTTGTAATGATGTGGGAAAGGTAAAAATAGTCCTCATTTCTGGTGTAAGAACTTAAGAACTCCTTGAACATCAGTAACACCAGCTTGCTTTGTCGGAAAGTGCTGAATCCTTTGTCACCCCCAGGAAAGATAACTTGAGAAAAATACTAGAATTGAAAAATAATACTTAAACAGATATGACTACATTCTTCAAGAAGAGCTGAAATTTAGAACTGTAAATGTCATTGACTTGGATAAAACCTCTATAATGGCTTATTCTTGGCTGGCAGCCTTTGAAGAAACAATTGGTCAGTTATGTGTAGTCTAGGTGCTGGAACAAGGCAAGCCATTAAAGGCAGTTATTTTTAAGGGACAGTATCAAGTCATGAGAGGGAGGGAAGCTGAGTAAGGTGAAAGCAGAAATGACACTTGTATCCCTTAAAGCATTCAGGTTTGCACTGCTTCTAGATAGCTGTGAAATCATAAATTAATAACTACAGCTGTGTCTGAGGTAAAGGTATGGTTCCACATAGATGAGGGTTTTTGTGTAGATCACTTAAAAATGTAGTTGGATACCTTCAGCTTCTAATGGAGCAGGCTTCAGTCTATGTAAGAGAACACACTCTTGCTGGAACAGCTTAGAAATCAGGGTTTGTGCTTTTCAGTTGATAAATTCATTCCTATCCCTCAAACTTCCTTGTATTTTTCTCTTTGCAGAGTATTTGGAGTTGTACTTATCATTGTGGACATTATAGTTGTGATTCTGGATCTGGCTATCAGTGAGAGAAAGAAGGGTACAGAGATTCCTGAACGTGTTTCCCTGGCAATAGCACTCTTCTTTCTCATCGATGTTCTCCTAAGGGTGTTTGTTGAAGGGTAAGACATAGGCAAAAATTAAGTCCATGTGGCAAGTCCTCAAGCTAGGAAGGAAGCAAAACTTAAAGCTTGAACTATGAACATGGTGTCCTGTAGGCTAATTGTCTGGTCATAGATAATAGTCTTTTCTTGGCTGTGTATCTTGGTGGTTACCCTTTTATGGAACAACCTTTAAGTATTTTCAGTATAAGTGAACACTTGGAAACTATACAGCTTTGCCATAACTTGTGTGTAAATCAGGGCTAAGATTGCTTTCTTAGTGAGACTTCAGTGCTTAGTGTTAAGAAAAACTGCAGGAGAGCTTGTCTCCAGCAGTAGCTCTGTATAGATTATTCTCTTCTTGAAGATATATTTCAGTCTTTGCTACCTGTATTGGCGTCTGTCTAAAACTCTCCTTGGTTTCAGCTTCAGGAACTATTTCCAGTCCAAACTGAATATTTTGGATGCATGTATAGTGGTGGGCACCCTGTTAATTAATTTGACATACTGCTTCTTAGATGTTGATGCAGCAAAGGAGATACCAAGGTAAGAGTGGCATGGCAGCTGGTAAGTGTGAGCTCTTTTCTTGATAATCTTCTAAGAATTTTCTTGGGCACCTCTAAGCCAGATGTCATATGAGATCACAAATGGGACTGTGATAGTGTGTCATAGTAAAGACAAATGCAGGATAGACACACAGCTTTGATCTGTGGTTATGTGTAGGCTGTCCCTTCCTCAAAGGCAGAGGGGATCTGAACATACTAGTTGAGGTAACTAAAAGTGGGGCCATAAAATGCTCTGACTCAAGCACTTTTTGGGGAAAGGTGTGCAGTAGACTTAATAGAGAGGAGGGTCTGAAGAAAGGCAGAGATAAGAATTGCATTATCTTGCAAATGGAAGAGACAACAAAGCGAGGATCTCTGTCTAAAGGATCTTTCAATAGAAAGAGTTGCCAAACTGTCTTGTTTCCTTTGCTTTCCCAAAAGCCTCATGGTAATATAATGCTGATTTTTTTTCAGCCATGCTTGGGGTGGAGAAAACATGCTGTTTATGTGCATGGTGCACGGGCTCCTTCAAGTCATATTTCCTTCTGATTTCTGTATCTTGATCAGATAACCTGTGAGATGAATTAATTCCTGATGGAGGCTGAACTACAACTTCAAGATGGGTTTATCTGCACTAGGTTTGACTTAGAGAAACTTTCTTGCATCAGCTAGGGAAAAGTCAAGCTCTTAAAAAATAAATAAAATGTCACCTCCTGTCCCAAATTCAGCTGACTAATAGGTATAAGAGGGGAACATTATTCCAGAAGAAAACAAAAAGTTTAGTTATTGAAGAATCCAGAGTTCTAATATAATCCAGAGTTTTAATATCTGTAAATACTAGTTTTGTCTTGAAGTGCTTGCTAAACTTGGGTATCAAGAAGTAAAATTGTCAAAGGAATAGCATTTGCAGCCTAGCTTCTTCTTAGGTTGTCTTAAACATTCATTGGTGTTTTTAATTATTACTTCCCATTTCTATGGACACATTTTCCTAAAACAGCTTTTATCTTATAGTAGCACCCAGATAAAGGAGGGGAGAAGAGCAGTGTGTCAGCATAATCTGCACTCTTGTCTCTACTAGGCCGTGCTAGTAGTAGGCCTGATCCTAAGCTGATCCATCTAGCTGTAGATCTGTGTATGCTAGTTCTTTGTATTCTGACTTGCTGAAGTTGATGGGATTGTAAAATAGGTTTTTGCCTCTCATAAACAGGACTTCACACTGCTGCTCTCAGACGACACTCAGCTGAGGCCTACCATCTTACCCGTGCAATTTTTGAGGCCCTCTATAAGGCTTCTCTTGTTAAAAGCTCTAAAACTGTGTTCTGAACAAAATACTGCTGCCTGACAGTAGAGGATATCTCAAATTTGGCCAAATACCAAATCTTGAAATGGTGGTCATCCCACCTAACACAGCGGTAGTGTCTACAAAATCCACAATTCCCAGTAGTCTTACTGGGGTTTATAATTTTTCTTTCCTGAGTCCTTCATCAGGAAGCAAACAGTAATCTTAAAGCATCTGATATATCTCAGAAGAGTTAGAATTTTAGCAGCTTTTATGTGCATGAGAGCTTATATATGACAAGTGAAATTTCAGTGACAGACCGTAGAGGTAACATGCCCTGATGAAGGAATATGGTTTCTCATTCTAGTCATGTCTAGCTGGGTGTGTGTAGGGGTGAGTTAACTGTTTCCCTGAAGTCTGACCTATAAAAGGACTTTGAGAAATGAGAGCTGGATATCAGTCTGGGAGCTAATGCTTAGCATGCTGACTTCCTTAAGGGATTTTATGTTGAGGAGTTGCTTCTCAGAATTGTGGGAGAGAGGTTATGGAGTTTTCACCCCAGTTTTGGTTCATCTAATTTGCTGCTAGCTCCAAGGAAAGTCTTTTTTGAAAGCAGGTGGATGATACTGAATTTGGAAGAAACTCAGGGAAAAACTGAAACTTTCCTCCAAGTATCCAGGATACCTTGCTGACTCCGTATCAGTGGAGGGCAGACTGTGAGCAAAATTGGAGTTTTGTCTCCCTTACTGTTGGTATTCACCAGCATTTTTACACAAATGTATCAAAACCTAGAATGTGTGTGTGCTGCTTAAAATGTATGCTTACTTGCCTCCTTAAGGAATGAATTGAGTATTGGTTTGCCCTTGTCCCTAGTGGGGGAAAGCAGCTGCAACTTTGTAGTAGCTTCAGTTGTTTTGATAGAACCGCTCATCTAAGCTTCTTTCCTGCTTCAAAGTTCAACAATAGTTCAAAGTTTCTCAAACCAAACCAAGTGTTCAGGTTGCTCAATGATTAAACACAAGATATCTACTGAGCTGTTCTCAAGTTTCTTAATCAAGTCATGATGTACTTAGCCTGTCTGGCTTCTTTTAGTTATTTTTCAGGTGGCTACATACATTTTAATGTGGCTGCATACGCTTAAATGTATAGTTGAGAATAAGCTTCAAGGAACAAAGACTTGGTGATAATAACATTGGTAATATTAATGGAATATGTTGCTTTCTAGCCAGAGGTGCCTGTGGAAGTCTGTTTGAGCAAGCAGGGGATTTCCTAGTTCTGCTAGCTGTTGAGAACATGTACTCACAAAATACCCTTAACAATAAACCCATTATATTGTGTTTGTTCCAAAATCAGCCTGAGATGGCCTAGTTCAACATATGAAACAAAGTTTTAAACTTTCCCTGAAACAGCTTTTAAACAGCTTTAATCTTTGCTTGTAACTTTATTTGTGTCCATTTTCTTCCATGGTGAATCTGTCATCTAGAATGGTTATTTTCCTCCGAATTCTGAGAATTGTCATCTTGATAAGAGTATTTCGTCTGGCTTCACAAAAGCAGCAACTTGAAAAGGTGACCAGGAGAATGGTAAGTTGGCCTCTTAACATGTCTAGACTACTGCTACTGTTTCCAACTCTTTCTTCAGGCAGCATCAGTGGTTAGTAGCAAGACTGACCATGGCCTATTGGTCTGCTATTGATAGTGTTGCCCAAGCAGCACATCCCCTCGATGTCCCTGACAGCGCTCTGGAGCTTTGCCTCCAGCCTCAGTAAAACCTTGCCATTCTTGACTTTGTTCAAGTAAGCAGCAACTTGACCTGGAAAGCTGGCATATCAAAGTGATTGGAGCACCCCTTGTGTCCCAGCTGACAATTTTTAACTTGTGTGGTACATAGACTGTTTTCCCTCATATGAGGGAAAGTGGGAGTTTTAATTAGGAGCTTTGTGTACCAACAAAGCAATGTACCTGGTGAAGCCCTATCCACTGTCAATGCATCTTATTTTCATCAGGGTTGTTGAGGTTGTACTTTAAGCTTCAAGTATGTCCTACTGTCCTGTTAATTACAGGACATACAGTAGTATGTCCTACTGCTTAGGAATAAGCAGTCCTTAACTTTATTCTTTTTTCCCCTCAGTCTCCAAACACTCAAATCACAATGACAGATTCATGCTGCAATAGGCATAGAATCTGCAGTGGTTTTTTTTCACTAGAATAAATTTTGATATTTAAGTGTAAAAATTCTATACAGAGCTTCTACCTAGAAGTTAATACAAGGAATTTGCTCTTGCATAATGCTGTAATGAAGTGAGGCTCTGCTACTCAAGCTTAACTGGAGAGTCTACATGGTTGAATTTTCCTAGTAACAGGAAACACTTGGTGATTGTTGGCATTCTTGTGGAAGATTAACTTTTTTTTTTATTTGGCAGGTCTCTGAAAACAAAAGACGTTATGTGAAAGATGGCTTTGATCTGGATCTCACTTACATTACTGGTTTGTGGAAACAAATGTCGCTTTGCAGCATGTTATGTCCTGTGAAGACTTGTTTTGCAGTTAATATGAGCTTGTCATGAACTACAGACAATGTTTTAGACTCATGAAATTTAAGTATGAAGTCAATCCAGACCTACTTCTTTTCTGTGGGATTTTGAAATATGGATTCCTGACTGACACTATTCCCCAGAATTAGCCTTCTAGGAGAGTTGTACATGTTGTATATAATGATAAAAATTTATTTGAGGCCTAGGGAACCAGTGTTGGGAAACTATTTACTTAGTGTATTTTTGCTTCTGATTCTGGGAGACTGACATTTGATGGTGGCTGATGCTTTGGGAAGCATTATTTGTCTTGCTCTAGCTATGCCAAATATAGAGGCAAGCCTACCAGAAAGGGGTAGATTGTTCTTATAATTGGGGTAAGAATAAGTCGTTTCCTAAGGCTGTTTCTCAGTCATGTAGTTCTTATGTGCAGGGAGCCTTCCTGCTGTTACTTGTGATTGCTGTCTTCTCAACAGATCGAATTATTGCAATGTCGTTTCCATCTTCTGGGAAGCAGTCTTTCTACAGGAATCCCATAAAGGTAAAAATCTTACCTACCAAATTCACTGTTTCTGAAACCTGTTTCTTTTATAGGTTCCCGCTAATTTACATGCGGCCTAGATCATGTCAGTCCTAGTTTTGCTGCCTTTTCTGGTTGGAATGACTGATTGATGATCTCCACTGTGCTGCACTGCTTATGTTGTAGTGTCTCAGCTAAACCTAATGGTTTTCTCTCACAGTGAGGACACCAGTGCTTTGATGCTCCTGTTCTTTGGGAATGTTTTGAAGAATCAGGGTGGTTCTATACCAGGCTAGTAATTGTGATAAGATTTAATCACCTAAATAAAGTTGCTTTAAAGGTCTGTAGACATAATATCCTTTTCAGAGCTCTGCCTCCTGATATTGTAGAAATATATATAGGGCCAAGAAGATAGCTGCAGTAGTACTTTTGTTCCAGATGAGAACCTGAGCTGTTGAAGGGCCTGCTTTCCAAGTGCTGTTCATTAGTGCAATTGTTGATCCCACCTGGGGGTGGGGGGGGTTGTGGTAGCAGTGGAAATAAAAAGTAGAGCGCTAACTACTCTAAACTCATTATTCCTTAGGAAGTTGCAAGATTTTTGGACACCAAACATCCAGGCCACTATAAAGTCTACAATCTCTGCAGTAAGTATGTTTAGCTGCTGACTATATTTGAGATAAAATTTAATGTGTAAGTGAAAAATATGAAACCAGAAGATAAGCATGTGTGGCTTTAGCCAAGTTACCCCTGTTTTTTTTCATTTTAATATGTCTATTAACACTGCTGTATTTTAGACACTAGTACATGCTCAGACCATCCCTTGTGTGTTACAAACCACTTTCTTTGTTTTAATCCTTCTCCCTTCCTGGCATAACTTTAGATCTTTCCCTATAGGTGAACAAGGCTATGACTCCAAGTACTTTCACTACAGGGTGGAAAGGATCTTCATTGATGACCACAATGTCCCATCACTACAGTGAGTCTTGTCAAGAAATATATACATTGCAATAGTTCTGTGTAGGTATTTACCATGATCCACTAACTTTCCTCTTATTTAGGGACATGCTGAAATTCACTTCCAATGTCCGTGAATGGATGAGTCAAGATGAGAAGAATGTCATAGTAATTCACTGTAAAGGGGGCAAAGGTAGGATTTCTCATGTGCAATCTGTGTATGCTACAAATCATGCTTATTTGTTAATTGTAGCTTCTTTGATTCAAGTTTGGCCTTAAACCGTACTATGAGAGATGGGTTTGTGGTGTAATTTGACAAATACTGCTGACACTGTGACATCTAGCATGACTACAGTACTCTGTTTAGTATTAAACAACCCCATTTTTAGGTAGTGTAAACTAGTTCTTAGTCTAAGCTGTTATTTTGTCTCCTAAAATGTTCTTCAGTAACTTTCTGGTTTTCTGGCAGCTGAGACAGCAGTCCCCCAGGAGAGACCGGATAGGGAGGCTACTGAAATTGCTACTATAAAAGTGTTAGGCTGCTGCATTGGATTCTGGTAGTCAGTCACCCATGCTAAATATTTTGCACTGTAATATGGCTCAAACCATCCATTGTTTAGGTTGGAAAAAGACCTTTAAGATCAAGTCCAACTGTTAATCCAGAACTATTAGATCTACTACTAAACTATGTCTCTCAGTGCCACATCTGCACGTCTCTAGGAATACCTCTAGTAGTGATGATTTGGCCACTTTCCAGGGCAACCTGTTCCAGTGCTTGATGACCCTATTGGAGAAGAAATTTTTCTTATCCAATCTAAATCTTCTCTGGGACAACCTGAGGCCATTTCCTCTCCACCTATCACTTGTTACTTGATGATGGAAGAGACCAACCCCACTTCACTATGACCTTTATAGTGAAAAGGTCTCCTTTGAGCCTCCTTTTCTGTAGGCTAAACACTCTCAGCTCTCTCAGCTGCTCCTTGAAGACTTGTGCTGCAGACCCTTCCCCAGCTCTGTTGCCCTTCTCTGGACACACTCCAGCAGCTCAATGTCTTTCTTGTTGTGAGGGGCCCAAAACTTAATGCAGGATTCAAGGTGCAGACTCTCCAGTGACGTGCATAGAGAGACAATCACTGCCTTGGTCCTGTTGTATCAGAATATTGCTGATACAGGCCAGGATGCCATTGGCCTTCCTGGCCACCTGGGCACACTGATTCATGTTCAGCTGCTGTCAACCAGCACCCTCAAGTCTTTTTCTAGTGGGCTGCTTTTCAGCCAATATTCCCTGAGCGTGTAGCACTCTGTGGGGCTGTTGTGACCCAAATGCAGGTCCCAGCCCTTCACTTAATTGAACCTCATACAGTTGGCCTTGGTCCATTGATCCAGCCTGTCCCTGCCCTCCAGCAGATCAGCACTCCCACTCAACTTGGTATCTTCTTCAAACTGACTGAGGATACACTCAGTTTCCTTGTCCAGATTGGTAAAGACATTAAATAGAACTGGCCTCAATCCTGTGCCCTGGAATCACCACTAGTGACCAGCTGCCAACTTCACTGTGGATGTAACAATGGCCTGGACTCCAGACAGGTTTTTACCCAGGGGAGAGTGCACCTGTCCAAGCCCTGAGCGGCCAGTTTCTCCAGGAAAATGGAAATGGTGGGAGAGGCTTTACTAAAGCCCAAGTAGACAACATCCACAGCCTTTCCCTCATCCATTAACTGGGTCACCATCTCATAGAAGGAGTTCATGTTAATCAAGCTGGACCTGCCTTTCATAAATCTGTGTTGTCTGGGCCTAATCCCTAGTTGTGCTGTATTTGTTGTGTGATACCACTCAAGATTATCTGCTCCATAACTTTACCCCTCTAGAATGTTCTAGACTGCTGGATCTTAAAACAAGATAAACATGATATTAGGTGATAGAGTACAATGAAGTTTTATGGAAACAAGAATAGTGAAAGCTATCAAACATATGGGCTAACTTGCAGGTGCTACCTGAACCAACAGTGGTGTGGGAGTTGTTGAAATGCATAAATAACTGCAAATAAGACAAATTTCCCTGCAAATAGCTGCCACACCTTTAGCCACCTGCCATTACTACTGCAAATACTTGCCTTAAAGTAGGTGTTACTTAACATGAAATAGTTGCTCCCAGGTGGAGCTCTGTCTTAAAAGGTTTTGCAAAACTAAATGTTGAAACTACCTTCAGGTCAAAACCATCTTGAAGAACAAGTGTAAGGAGGGTGACTTGACCTCTTGAGATTTTTAAATTAAAAACTGTAACTTTATATGTATCTTCATGCTAGCAGACTTGATGGCTTCTTAGTAGGGTTGCAGGGAAAACAGTTGGGACAGAGAAACAAATCTTGACACTTACAGCATTGGGAAGTTTCAGTTTATAGCCTCATTTAGTAAGGTGCTTGACTCTATTTCCTGCTGGAGTATGCAGATAGTGACCAGCTGCCTAAGTGTCTCTAGTAATGAAAATGTGGAGACCAGGAACAAGATACTACAAACTGTAGTATCTTGTCTTTAACTGATTCTTCTCAGAAATACTTGACCTCTTGGCTGTCTCTTATAACTCTTGAAATAGATGAGATAACAGGAGATGACTTCACCTTCACAAAAATAATCTCAAATACTTTTGAACTTTGCCAATTTAACTTGTATTGTATGTCTGATACAGGCAGGACTGGAACAATGGTCTGTACTTGGCTCATAGACAGCGACCAGTTTGAGAGTGCAAAGGTAAAAATTGCTGTTTATTTTTTTATTTCTTTAGTATTTAAAATATTCTTTTAGGATTTACTGAAATGGTAAAATGCCCTAATACTCTGCAAAAAATTCTATACTAGAAATAGGATTCTCTGAAAAGTATGGTTTTAAAAAAGTTCATGCAAGTCTTGCTACAGTGGATTCTTGCTTCTGATGGAGACTATTTGTGATCTGAAATAAGTGAGAAAATAGCATTTAACAGGTTACCAGCCTGAAGGATTCTTTTTGGAGGAATAATGTGTCTAGGGTCTTGAGCAACAACTTAAGCTGTAGGTAACTTCTGAGCAAACGCTCCTAAAGATAGTATCACTGGTTTTAAGTGGTTTTAAACAATTTTTTGCCCAGTCACCCTCCAAGTAGTGTGAGGCATCAAGAATTGTCTTGTCTTGACAGCCAGCATTACAAAAGAAAGCCCTTCTAGGAAAAGGGAGAAAGATCAAGTCCCAGCCAGGACAGGTGCTGATACTGCTTTAGTATTCCAGGTCTGATATATCAGCTGGAGGCTGGGGATGCAGAGGGCCCAGGACACTCAAGGTAGTCTGGGCAGACTGTATATCCATTTAATCACTAGTTTGCCTCTGAGTTTGCTTTGTGTAGATATGAGCTAGTGTTCAACTTGGTCTGCCACAGACCACTTGAGAAATATAGATGGTTCTAAAGCAATTGCTTGAAAGTAATTCACTTTCAGTCAGTCATTCTTCACTCTTTCATGAATGACAGATCTGTGTGTCTGACTTCCTAATTAATACTTTCTTCTTGTAGTGAAAAGTCTCCTTTAGAAGGTACCAAAGTAATTATTGCGTATTTCCACTTGCATTCCTTTACTGGACTTGAGTAGTGTAGTTCTAGTTTACTATCCACTTCTCAAAAAGGGGAATGGTGGTAGGATGGATAGCTTAACCCTCTAAATTATCATTGTGTGTAGGAAAGTTTGGACTACTTTGGGGAGAGAAGAACTGATAGAAGAACAAGTACCAAGTTTCAAGGAGTTGAAACACCCTCACAGGTAAGCTCAAGGAGGTTCAAGAGCAGTAGTCCAACCAATACTAACCTTGTGAGTGCTTATGCTACCCTACCTCCCCTGCCTTGTTTCAGAGATACAGGTTTCTATTACTTGCTTAACTCCTGAGCTTTCTGTACTCTTTCTGTGAGAGTTGGAATATGAACAGCTGACAGGGTTGCTCTGCATCTTTCCCCTTCTCCTTATACCTTTCTCTGCATAATAATATCATATCTGAAGTATAGTATCTAGGATAACAACAGAATTCTTGAGATTGGGAAAGCTTTCAGTCCAGTCCCCCTGTTCAAGCAGGGTGACCTGGACAGATGTGTCTGGTCAGGTCTAGAATATCTGCACAGATGCAGATTCCGCAGCATGTCTTGGCACCCTCACAGGAGCATGACACTGTATGGCAATTGGACTGTTTAACGAGAATGTGCAGAAGCCTGCAGCCGAACATGGGATGGGACCATGGTGCTGATTTGGCTTGGGTGAAGAAATGCAGTGAATCTTCTGCAGACTGCGTTCACTGGAAAATACTACACAATTTTTTGCCTCAGACCACATTTTTGCACATCTTGATTTACTGTTCTGCAGAGTTGAGAAGTGAATCTTGTGATGGGTACTTAAAATTGCTGATACAAAATAGAAGTATAGCTGTCCTTCAATAAAATGAAGATTTCTAGTATGTTTAAACATTCAGCCTCTTAAGGCTGAATAAAATATAAAATATCCTCACTTCTTGCTGAACTAAAAAGTACAGAATTTCTCTTGAAACATGAAATTTAAATGCTGTTTAAAAATGTAAACATTGAATTTGTCTAGAAGATTGTTTCTACAGGGAAGGGGAAGGAGAGCAATTGTACTTCTTTTTAGCTTTGGACTTTGAAGAGCTAAAAACTTGGAGTAAAAGAGCTATTTAAATCTTACTTCTTCCTAGAATTAATCTGTGGTGGATACAGAAACCATATAATGAGTCTGGGTTTTTTGCATTACAGAGTAGGTATGTTGGGTATTATGAGATCCTGAAGAACAAGTATAACTTGGAACTCCCACCAGAGAGACAACTCAAAATAAAAAACTTCAAAATCCACACTATCCGTGGTAAGAACTCTTGTATTTGGGCATTCCTCTGTCTGGTAATGGTTTCCTATTACAGGCAACTGATAACTCTCTCTCTTGCTAAGGCCATGATCGGAATGTAGACTTACTGGGATTTGAGAATTTAAATGACACAGAACACAACTAAGAATATTTTGTAGTCAGTTGCTCTGTGTTGTGTCACTTTCTAGATGTCTAACCAAATGATGGCTCACATCCAACCTGCCCTTTTTTGGAAGGGGAATCCCTTTTTAAGTGAGACTAACTCCCCATGTGTAACTGGATCCATTAATGTTTCTGAGCTTTAGATACATGTCTGTTACAGTACGTGTATGCTGATAATCTTGATCAAAGGCTGGAAGTTCATCACTCCTTGTTCTAGGGGAGTTCAAACTGCTGTTATTGTTCAGTAAATGGAGCTAGATTTTACATTAGCCTGTTCCCCTAGTGGGGGGAACTTCAAAATGCAATTTTCAGCCACTGAATCCTGGTTTACGTTTAGCATTTGAGTTCTCTAGAGTCTTGAGCAAGGCATTCTGGAAAGAAAGCACTTTTGAATCAAATTGCACTTGGTTTTCATGACTACCTGTGTTTCCAGCTAATGTCTATGCCTCTGGTATAATGCAACGCTTTGTTCCTAGGAGTTGGGAAAGGCAATGGAACGGATATGAAGGTGCAGATAATAGTAAAGAAGAGAATTGTACTACAATGTGTATGTGCCAATCAAAAAAACTGCAGGGTGAGTACTATGAAGACACACAAGTTGAGTCACAGAAGCTAAAAGCTGATTTATAGGTTTAAAGTGTCTTAGTTTTATGTCCAATATTCAATTTCTACATAGTCTAACTAAATGGATGATGTAAATTCCAGGAGGACAAAAAAGCTAAACTTTTCCAAATCTTAGGAAATGTAGTGGTGAGATGGTGAAAGATTTCCCTGGGAGTCTCTTAAATGCAAATAGTTCCCTCTGTCCTGAGCAGCTTAAACTGTTGTCTGTTATTCTAGTGCTGCTGTTGTATTTGTGCACTGTGAGTAGTTAGGTCTTGTCATGAAGTGGTCCTATGTCTTGCTGAAGAAACTTTTATAAAATGAATTCTTTATTCTGTTAACCAGCTCTTCTTTGATTCTGAAAGTGACACTGTAGTCATTGGCTTGGAAGACTGCCCTGTTCTACGTGGTGATGTGAAAGTCAGATTTGAATGCAGTTCTGTAAGTACACCAGTGTGAAGACCTTCAGTTGGGTATGGGGAGAGGCTACAGGGCAAACTGCAGTGGGTCCTGCCTGACTGGGCAGCACGATGCAGAATCTGTTCCTTCCCAGTGGCTCCTGCTGTGTCTCACTGTGTAGTGAGGGATGCAGCAAGTGGTGTAATATCAGCATATTAGCATGCAGGGGAAGCACCTGGCTGTTCAAACAGCAGTACAACTAAGGCATTTTAGTTGGGTACCTGCTGCTCCTAACCATGGGAGTCTCACGTCATTGTATTGAATGACTTGGTATTGAAATAATTGCAGAGAAAATAATGATTTGTGTATGATATGGGGCTCTTCAAGTGTACTTATTCTGGCACTGTACCTTTCTAAACCAAATTAGTGAGGAAAAGTGGGTACCCTTGCTCTACAAATAAAAGTTCTCTTGTGTAACACAGTCCTTAAACAAGGTGTTTGTGTTTAGGCTCTTCCAAAAGGCTATGATGGCTGCCCATTCTTTTTCTGGTTCAACACTTCCTTTATTGAAAATAACAGGTAAGGATATTAATGAATGCCTTCAGATCCTGACTTCTGGTGTCTGCAAAGAGCTGAAAGATCATAAACATAGTACTGAAAGCTGAGATAGGGCAGGCCTGATCAGCCAGCTAACTTTCGTGTGAGTACTGGTCTTTGATCCTCAGCTGTAACTTGTGAGCTGGCTGTTGCTCGTGCTGTGACGAATATTTGAAACATATGAGAGCTTTTTATCTTAACTTAAACCACTGGATTATTTCCTTGGTGCTCTCTAACCACTGTTAATGAATTTGAATTAAAAAATGTAATGTTGACTATTCAAATCTGCTATCCTCTATAGTATGTCTGCCTGAGAAGCAGGAACTCAGTAGCTTAGCAGGCAGACATTAAGACCACAGTTAGAGGTATTGATGCTTGGTATCACAAAGAAAGGCCTTCTTATGGTTTCTCATGCTCTTGATAAAGTTAGAAGTTACTGTGATTTTGCTTGTGGAGACTGAAACTCCCGGAGAAGCTCCAGCTGGTGAAAGGCTTGTCTGCCTTGCTGTGGGGGATTGGTCTGCCTTTCTTGACAGATTTAGGTAGAGGAACAGTGAACTTGGCATATAAGATATAATTACTGTGTTCTCCATGACTGAAATAGAAAGAAGACAGTTTTTACTTAACTGATCCTGTAGAGCCTGATGAGAGGTAGCCATGAATCTCTTTGTAATGGTTAACTTAATATGCTCAGCTAGCAATGCACCTTGCAGTCTCAATGCAGACCAATTAAACCAAGCCAGTGCCAGGAAAACTGTATGCCAGCTGTCTCATGGCCCTGCAACATTGCCATCTTGAGAGTTTTGCTGAAGAGCTTCGTTTCCTCCAGAACTATGGAGGATGCCCCACTAGGCTGCCTTTTGAGTACTGAATCAAATCCTTGCCTTTTGGAAGGTTGGTTATTAAATTCCTGGCACTTGCATCATATCAGGAGGCCTTGAGCTGAATGCAGTATTAATTTCTCTCTGTCTTGCACTGTGGGGCTCTGGGAGGGTGGTGGGGAGCCAATCCACAAACCCTTCAAGTTGTCTTTGTTTCTGAGATGACTTAAGATACAAAAGACTGTGCAGGCATGGCTGATGTCTGTTTAAATTCAAGGTCTGGGGCTGTATTTAATATTCTAGGGCTCAGCTAGGAGATTTTGCTAGCTGGCTAAAAGGAAAAGCATGTCTTAGGCTGTAAGATATGCTACTGAATTTTGTCTTTCAGACTCTACCTTCCCAGGAATGAGCTGGATAACCCTCACAAGTCTAAAACATGGAAAGTCTATCATGAGACATTTGCTGTGGAGGTGAACTTTATTAATGCATAAGGGAAATCTGAAAGAAGGAAAACATGTAAAATTCATCTCTTTCCTGGAGAATGTCTTGCTGTTTCAGTATAAAGTGAAGCAGTGTCACTTGGATGTATCTACACAGAAATACATAAAGTACAACTTCTCAAATAAAGCTACATGAAGTTCCATTGTGCAGGGCGAAAATACTCTGAAGAGTTACTTAATGTTAGTTGACTGTTACATTATGGGCTGTTGGATTCTTGGAGCTTAGATATCTCTGCATACAGCTAGTTCTTGTTTGAGTAATCAAAGACAATTACCCGTATTTAAGCATGAGCATTAACATGATGGTGGATGAAGACCAGCAGTCTGCATGAGACTGGAAAAACCTGACATGATTCCCTCAGCATTGGGGTTTTCCACAAATCAGTAGGATATGGGAATTCAGAGGGAGAGATACTAATCTCCCTCTGTTGGATTGTTGCTTCTTGAGCAGAAGCCTTGGTATTGAACTGCTCTTCATCAGTAATCAGTGATATAGCTGCTTTGAGCAGTACCTGGCCTGGGAGCTGCCTGTGGAGGTTGGAGACTGCACAGCTGCTTTTCTACTGCTGTACCCTCCCCACAAAGGGCTGCAATGGCCGCTTGTCCTAAGGCTTAAGACTGGCTCTCATCAGCTCCTGAGCATTCCAGCTGCCTGGGATCAGTTAGTGTGGCTGCCTTAATACCTGCATATGAGTGGTTTGATCTGTGCACCTGCTCATTTGAGCAAATAGTGTAAATGTTCACTGGCTCCTCTTGAGTTGTACTAAGACCTGTAATGCACAAACTTCCAGGATGCTTATTCTACTTCCACCTACTCTCAGCAGTGCAGCTCTTCTGTGAAGACTGTGCCTTCATTTGTGTGAAATGTGTTGAGGTGTTAGCTTCTTGGTTCTGCTGCTTCATTAGTGTTTTTGTTCCTGGGAGCCAAAAAGTGGAAGGGAAATGACATAGCTTTCCAGTTAATGAAATTAGCAGAGGTCATGTACCTCCCTGTGCTTACTTGAAGGTAGTTTCGTACTATGAAGTACACCATGTGTGGGCTTAGCTTCTGCTATTGCTATGTATTTACCTCAGTGTCCACGTGAATGTAGCTAGGGGCTAAAAAAGGATGCCCTTTCATTGCAGCTACAAGTGGCTGATGCCCAAGTTAATTTCGGCTTAGCTCAGGCAATTGGATATCTATCTACTGTCTGAGGATGCCTTTTCATATAGTTGGCAGGGCACCTAAGGTGACCCATCTTCCTGCTTAGGGAGTAAGCCAGTTTCCTCAGATAGCAGCAGCAGAGGTGTACCAGCAAGTCAGATTTTCCTAGCCGAAGCACATGCAGTTAAGTAAAAACTGATGTGTTAGCAGGAATGAGTAACAAAATAGCTGTACAAGGGATATACTGTTTCTCTTGGGAGATCCAGGCACCACTGCTCAGAAGAGGGTAACAATAGGCCCTACCTCTCTGTTGCGCTGACCTTCACAGGGTAGTGGATATTTGTCCTGTATATATGTGGAACTTAGGTCACCTGTGCTGGACTCTCGGCATTCTTCTGACAGAAAACCTTATAGCCTGTATTGTGGTAATCTAGGAACTTGAAATTTGAGGTGAACCCTAATACTAGAACTGACTTTGGTACTAACAAAGCAACAGGCCAAGTGCTGAACTATGGGTTTCATTTTCCATAGATGTAAAATCAGCAGTTGTTTCACAGCACCTTACTGTAGCTGCCTCTTCCCCTCAGTTATGAGGGCTTTATATGTTCATTGATTGTATAAAGTCTTTTTCTTTCATTCCAGAAAGGTGGTGATGCTGAATTCAACCTTTTTGTTTCTCAGCTAGATGAGCTTGTTAAATGACATAAACAGTCATCAGGTACTCAGTTAATCAAATGAAACTTTATTTCTGTGAATTCCTGTACCAACATCATGAAGTTTTTAGCTGAACAACTGATACACGTGTACAGCTTAAGCAGCTCTGAATGGAAAAATTACTGCTTACATCAATTTCAGAAGGTAAACTCTCAAACATGCCACCATCTTCTTGCTTTAGGTTGTTTTAAATACCCTGCTTCTCTTGAAGCTTCAATTTTTGTATTAAAACCCATGAGCTTTAAAAAATGAAAGCAAAGACAAATCTAAGAAATAGATTGAAGTATTCCACTGAGGTGGAGTCTGTCTTCACCTTTTTGTAACTATTAGAAACATGTACAAATATACTATTTCTCTTAGCTAGACAGCTTTGAAAAGAAGGGGAAGTCTAACAACTCTTAACGCCTCGTCCTCCTACCTGAATAATTTAAACATTTGGTATAAATTCCTTTTAAAGTACTGGCAATGCAGAGTGGTGCTGCCCCTAGTGTACCAGTCAGTCAAGGTGTATTGGTGCAGTAGACACTGAAGATTCTTCATCTGTGCCCTGCTTTAACTGCCTTTTCTCATGGTGTACGAAAGGGGCATGAATTTCTGCACTTGGAGGCTGGCGGAGCAAGAAGATTTTGTGGAACTGCAGCAGCCACCCTTCATTAAAGTGGCTGCAACAATGCAAGGAATGAGCCAGTTTAAGTGCACCCTGGCTCTACTGCAAGAGGCAGCAGGTATTGAGGTGATTTCATCTATGCCTAAATCCCCTTCCTGTTTCTGGGATCTGAAAGGGAAGCTGTAACATGCAAAACTAGGTTGTTCCAGCTCTGTCCGTCAGTGACAAATGTGGTTGCTGTGACAAGCTGCTAATCTCCATGTAGCTGTGATGACCTCTGCCTGTGCCCCACACTGCCCCCACACTGGTGGGCTGCAGTTAGCGCACTCAGGCAGCATATCTGTACAACTCCAGGACAAGTTTGTGCTGTTCTAAGATCTGCTCAACTTATTCCAGCATAAGGCAGTAGCTGCTTCCTACAAAGCAGAACATGCTTGTAGCAAGAGCATTCTACTTGAAGAACAAAGGGGGCATCTAGAAAGAGGTGTCACTGCATCATTTTGGGTAATCCCGACTAACTGCATATTTAATCAAGTAACATGACCAAGCAGGCCATGCCCTCCAGGCCTGAAGGTGATACAAGCTATCCAGTCATATAAGCTTTTTCCACTCAGCTGAAGAGGCACAGCAAGTGGCAAGACTCCAGCCCCAGTAAGACTGTTCTGTCAGAGACCATGGTGTCAGTTAACAACTTGGTTCTGACTTTCTGTTCCCCTTCAGCTTCCTGTCATTCCAGCATGTGGTCTCATTTGTGCCACAGTCATCTAAACGGGAGCCTGCACAAAGTTACAACAATTCTGTGCTCAGAGACAGCACCTATTTCCAGCACTGTCCCTTGTGTTAAGTGGTGCTTGGCATACTCCAGCACTTCTTGAAAGGATTTAGAAAACAATGCAATGCAGAATAGCATCCTTAATGTCGTTACTATGCTTCTTTTATCAAAAATGTGGCATATCGTGGGCTCTAAGTTTCATATAAGGTGAATGTTTCCTACTTTTATCAACCCATTCACTAGGACAGAGTATGTAAGTCAGACACCCTCTGCCATGACCTTAGCAAGTCACAGAGAAGCAGGGAGCCAGAGCAGGACAGGGGTGTAGCTGGAGAAGGAAAGGTTTCCCTAGGTGAGGGGTATGTCCAAGTCATCTATATTCAAGAAGATTAGACAAGAACTGATATTGAGTCAGACATCAGTAACAACTGCAAAAGGTCACAATTGCAGCACAGTTTTAAAACCAGTGCTTTGCTGTAGACAACTCACAACCTAGTTCTGCATGTTACATTAAACCCCACAGGTCAATGTAAATATTTTTAGCACCAATACAAGTCAGCAAAGACGTTTATGACATGCAGTGTACCTAGTGCAGAATCTGTAAGAGGGAGATAGTTCTGCTTGTGCAATTCAAAACCTCCATAAAATCACCTGATTTTAAAAGATTATAAATCTTAAACTGGAGTTGAGTTCCTAAAATTAGGTCACTGATTTGGTTCTGCTCAGACCATCATGTGATCTATGTGTTTTTCATCATTTATTTAAATGACCCTTAAACAATCTCTTGTTCTTCGTTTGCTAGATGGTATCAGTAGGAATCTATTTGTTTCATCATAAGTTTCCGGCTGTACTCATAGGCGAGGAACAGTGCCGCATTGGCCACGAATGCACGGATCATAGTTGGTGTTAGTCCAGAATACAAGGCAAGCACGCCTAGAAATGAAACCAGAACCAGTTAGCAATTTATTGAAGTGCCTTGTCTGCATCAACCACTATGCTCTTAACAGTGAAGGGTACTGAAGCAGTGCTTCTGCTTGATGCTTATTTCAGATACGACAAGGTCTTGGTCAACTGAGATAACTTGATAGTGGCTGTACCACAGCTGGCAAGGGGGCAGCAGGACTATGTTAGAGCTGTGCCCCAAGTCAGACTCCAGTTCTGATGAGTATCTTACCTAGCAATGGGGTCAGGATTCATATCTGCTGCCATGTATATTTTTAGACCCTCTGCCAAAAGCACCTGACATAGGCCTTTTCCAGGGAGGAGATGGTGAGGTAGATGCTTCAAGTTGCTAGGCTGGATAGGGCTGTTTGATAAATCAATCCTCAGCCATATATTAACTTCTAGAGGTGAAGAAAACTTCTGCATGGAACTTACCTACTTCCTTCTCATGTATAAGTTTGGTCACATGTAATAGAGCCCATTTCTTTATCTGTTTTTAATGGATAGTAAGCTTCTGTTAGGTTTAAGTGAATCATTTATTGAACCAAGAGGCAGGGAAGATGAAGTAGGTCTCAGTTTCTAGATTCCAAGGTACATGAAGTAGATATTTATTTGCTAGAAACAATCTGTCTCTAACACATTATCACTGGACTAGATTTCTTAAGTGATTTTGGGTATTGGAGGGTATGGATTTCAGTCTGCAGGCCTACAGATTCATTTGAACTGCTTGGATACTCACCTTCAGTTCTCACAACAGTTACAAATGTTCTCATAAAGCCTGTCTGTTTTCCAGCCATTGAAAGAACCTGAATTCTAGATTTGACACAGTCCACAGGATACACAGCAATCCACAGACAGCTGCCTCCAAAACCTCCACTTAGTAACAAAGGAATGGGACCTAGAAGTTAAGAAATATACTTTTATACACCACAGTATTAACCAACACAAATATAACATTATTTCATCTGCAGGATTCAAAG